AACAATTAAGAAAGTTGATATGAGTTTAATTGCTCAAATTTCCCCTGAATGTAAAAGTTAGAGACCTGAAAAGGGTAGACTGGACCACGAGACAAAGCCAAAGACCAGATCTACCGAATTGACTTATCAGTGATCATTACTCCATATACAAAGAAAACCAACCGAGTTTCCATTTAGCTAAGAGGGCTTGTTTGCAAAAATACTGACAAACAGAAATCGTTTTTCCAATATTAGGACTGTCCGAACACGCCACCAAAACGTCATTTGAGATAATCTATGTATAGTGTATTTCCCTGGTTGAATGCTGCTCAAAAAAGAGTCGCAAATCCCTTACTAAATACTCTTCAATCACTACAATCATTTTTGATCCGGGCTCTAGGTATCAAATTGTTTTTTTGTTCACCTCTTTCCAACCATATTGTAAAGCCTGGTGTGATAAAGTTTTGGCCCAGACCCACTATCCGAAGGTATGATCATTTCCATGCACGACTAACGAAAGTACTCTGCGTGAAAACCAGATTGCGTAGGCGTTGGAATGCAAAAAGAGTGATTCTTTTACAGGTTATTGTCGTTGGACAAAATGCTCACAATGTGAGATCCTTATAACCAAGGGAAGTGAGGATACCTGAGTTAGGTCAGTTTTGGTATCTACTCGGTTCGTCCAGCCCGAAACCCAGCCTGCAGACCCTCTCAGACAAGACGGAGCTCCCGATAGACTTTCGAAACCATCATCGGTCGAAATAAATGCTGATTCTAAATAGTAAGGCACGTGAAATTTTGAATAAAAATTTGTTGAGGGAGTCATATATATGTGATATATGATAACCTATAGGCTCTGCATAATGCTTGGAGTGTGCTGTATGAAAGGCTGTACACCTTGACAGTTACTTAGTAGCGTAACTGCAGTCGTTCATTAACAGGCAAATGTCGAAATGTGGTGGAACACACATCTACTACACAGCAAAATAATTTATTGAAGACAGTCCAACCACAGCATCGATCTTCGTTTATTAAACTTTTCAAAGTCATTTTAGGCTGAGTCTTGTTTACGAATGCGGTTGGGAATTTTCAATTTCGAGGTTCCAAAAGCTCGTGGTGGAATAGCAATGACGAAATGCATCCCCCACAACTAGTCGGTGTTTCAAAACTTTCCACCCAACAATTCAGGGTCCTAAAGATGTCACACGCACATTCCAGCGATTAATATGATGCTGCTTCACTGCTACAGGTCGCAATCGAATGGCAGAGTTGACTCTTGAAAGATGGAAAATTCTAGTTTATTCACACGCGGGAAGTAAATAATTGTCCCCCATAACTGACCTTGCACTATTGCTAGGTTTTGTGAAACACTAAGCATCTCTAACTTGTAAAACTAAAAACTAGACCTAAATATTTTTTTCATTTAATTTCAACAAAATTGGTATCTCAATAAGGTGCTGTGGAAATTCTTAAAAATAACCGAAAAAATTATGGGTTTTAAGTTCATTGATTCTTATAGCTTAGTAAAGTGCCATCTATAAAATCCTAAAATACGGGTAAATAAAACGAGAAGTTTCCTTACGATGCTGTGAATATTAGAGTTCAGCGATGCATTGCTGGAAAATCATTAACATCACAAAAAAGAGATCATATAAATCTACTCTAGTGCGTACTATAAGTGACTATACTGTTTTTATTCTGTTAAGTTCGGCACTCTCAACGCTTCAAAGGCAGCTAATTGGATGCCAAGTCGGAATACCACCATTGTAGTGGTTTATGGCGATTTCCTTTTGAAGCAATCCACTTATTTAGAGGTACAACTTACCACGTGTGTAAGTTAGTACCGAAAACTAGGAAACCCGCTCTAAAGACTAATAAGGCGCGCTTACGCGTTATAATAGGCCCCCACGTGCCCACTCAATTGCAATTTGACATTTCTTAACAGTGTGTAATTTTGGGGATGATGGTGTAATTTAGATACTTTTTATACCAGACTTAAAAGCTTTATTACAAGGACATGTGCCTTCCAGACCTCGTCCAGCACGTCACAACCCCCATTCCGTAAGGTATTTTGACCTTGGGAATATCACTTAGTTATTTAGACGATCACTTCACATGGCTACCACGTGGGCGCTTCACATTAAATATCGACAGTAAAATTCCAAAAAAAAGATGCACCAACGTCTTTTACACCTTACTGAAAATCAGGCTAAAGATGCTATGCTCTGTCTCGAAGATAAATGTATAACCACGGTGTTAAATTGGCTTCGAAGTTAAAAATATGCGATCAAACCGTCCACACAAGTAGACTTCAGTTGGGCTTCATAGGTAATCATTTGATGCCTTGTATCAAAGTGAAAGTAGAACACGATTATTAGTGTTTTGCGCGTATTCAACATTCACGACGCAGACAGTCCTTGTAAACAATGAAGCACTTCAATAGGCGTTTACCCACTCATCAGCGAAACTACTTCTGTCTACGAAGCCGCCACATCGCGATTTGGCTCCTCAAAAATGCGCAACAGAAAGCCTTAATGATTGACAGCGGGTTCAAAACTGAGCCCCTGGATATCATTACAGATCGTCAGTTATTATGATTGGTCGCCAATGTCATCAAGGGCTTACCTTCTCCAACTCAGGTAATCCCCCCCCGCCGGTCTGGGCACATTTATTCGCTTCACTTATGATAGGCAATTTAAGCAAAAAGCACGCATCAAGGTCAGAAAGGAACTAGTTGCTTGGGTTTATGTAAAGGGCTGCCAAGGGATCCACATGAATTGTATTCGCCAAATGGAATGAGACCAGTTTATCGAAAAATGAATACGCCCCCTCATTTCTTAATGACAAAATCAAGTTAATCCCCACGGTGCATATTCACGCTGGTGGAAATTTCCCGTGTTTAAATTAATAAACGTCCTGTCAATTTGGTGTCATAAAAAGAGCTGCCTACGGTGGCGTGGAAATTTCCACTCGCATGTGAGACAGCAAGTTTACAGTTACGTGGCGTTTTAGTGCATGAAATAGGTAGTTTCCTAGGTCTAGCACTTGGTTGGTTTTCAGATAATTAACGCCTACATACGTACACACAGGCAACAAAATTTGAGCATTTAAAATACCAGACATCTGCTCGTAACTCCACGAAAACAAAGGTGGTAGTGCTCTGAACTGGTAAACTAAAACATTTGCCCAATTAAAAAGGTCTGAAAGCAAAAATTCGAACTGCGAAACCCAGTCGCTGATTTTTGGATGCACCTAGAGAAAAGGCCCGATTGAACTAGCAACAAGCCATCTCCTTAACAAAACCCAGTTAATTGAGTCGTCAATGGAAATCCAAAGTGCACCCAAACCGAACAAGACTAGCGGATCTGCTCTCTCGCAACTGATTCATCCAGAATAGCATTGAACCCCAGTGAATTTTCAGATCTGAGTAAATCTCCATCACGGCACGATTTCTCGCACTGTTCAAGGCCGAATCACAACCCACCCGCTATCAGGTCAATTAACCTCACCTGACTACTTGCGAAAAATCAACTAATCATTCGCCGCCTACCTCGCGTTATCTACGCTCCCATGAAGTTCAAAGACTGGCAACACCACTCCAAACTTTGTAATACGTCGCACCACCACCCGAAATAGTTGCTGCGTCGGCGTTCACTCGATT